TTTCTTCTCATATATAAATCCTTTTGTATCAGTTCAGTTCGAACCAAATTCTACATCCTCCATCGACAGCCATGATATCTGCTCATGCTTCCGGGAAATCTCAAGTTGTCCTCATCGATGAACAGGTATGTGTCCTCTTTCTCCATTTTTATTTTTCCTTCCATCTGTCTCCTTAACAAGTTTTCGCTTTTCTTCCGTCATGCGAGGCTTCATCTCATCTTATCGTGCTCCACTAAATGAGCCTCAACTCAAACCAGGAGCTAATTACAGCCTTAAGAATTTCTTCGCAACCTTAATGTACTGGTGAGTGTTTGTGGCTTCAAACGTTTCCTGCTTCACAATCCTATCTATGTTTTCAGTCTCTCTTTTTGCTCTGTATTTTGGTAAGCCAAAGGAATCTTCAGTGACACTTTTGATCATATTTGTTTTGCTTATTGCTGCAAGTTGGATTGTAACCCAGAGATTGCTAAGCTGGTCAATGAGGAGGACATAACTAAGGCCGAGACAATGACTATTGGTGAAATCTTCTATTACATCAAGAAAGGATCCGCCAAGGTATCACCTGGTTGTTGACGAATGCATGAGGCATTTTTTTTTTGTCTATAACTGTCACAAAAGTTGTTTTTACCTCTTACAGTCCCACAGATGAAACCCACATTTGCTGCAACTGCTGAATTTCCCCAGCTCTCTGCAAATTTTTTTTCCGCCTCTTCCAATGGATGTGGAGACCTGCTGATGAGGGAAATGGTGGCTCAACTAACAGTGGCAAAGCCACATTAAGCCCAACGTGCTACACATGGAAAATAGTGCATCAATTGCTCATCCATAGATTGGACACAGGGGTTTCTGTTTCACTTTCCTTCCAGTTCTTAAGTTTTGTTCTGTTATTGCTCTGTAAGAGATCCTTTTATCTTAATTATTTCGACATAGCTCAAGTTAGACTTTGGTCTTTTTATTGCTTTGTCTGATTGTGTGGTTTTAATTTTTTGCTCATTGTTATCTCCACACTTTGACACAACCAAGAAGAAGATGATGAAAGTTGTCATTCTGGATCCTATTGAGGACTCAACAGAGCCACAAACGGAGAGAACTGATTCATTGCTTGGTATGTTGACGAGTTTACGAGAACTTTGGCGGTTTCTTTTCAATGGTGTACAACATTACTTTGTCTTTATTTATTTTCACTGCAGGTTTTCCATGTTTTCTCATTTTCCTTCATGTTCTGGTTGAAACAAAATAACTTTGAATTTCTTTACAAAGTTTTCCAGTCTAAAGACAATGGTTTGGGAGAATGTTCTACTTGATCATGAGCTGATGCGGTACGTTGTCTGTAATTTGCCATAGCAGCGGAATTCTAACCCTTTTCACACCAACTCAGAGATACTTGAAACAAGCTATTGTCGAAAAGAATCATGGTGTTTCAAACTATCTCTGCCAAGACTTTTGCATGCTTAATGGTTACAAAATCAATACTTCCCTAAAGATGGCTGCCATGGTGGATGCTTTAGTTACTGCTTGACCTGAATGAACTTGAAAAGATTGAAGATTACTTCCGAAGTAATTAATAAAAATCAAGCACAATGGTGCCACATATAATACAAAGGCCGTTTACTATGTTCTAAGACCCAATTTATGATCTTAAAATTCTTGCGTTTCCATGTGTTTTGTTTCTCTATTTGCTGCTATTTTGTTAGTGCTTTTTCTATTCGTAGAATTTGTAGAAGAAAAAAGTAGGCCACAGCTGGAATTCTTGAACAGAAATATGATCTTTGCAAACTTAGCCGGGCTTCCGCTTATGTAAATAAAATGAGTCTATGTTTTCCAACACTGGCTATGCAAATCAATTGTTTTGATTCCTATTTGAAACTCTTTTTGTTTTTGATAAAGACACATTATGTAGAGCTTCCTGAGGCTGTTGTATTGTATCCGGTTTCTCATCAGAGGGAAGGGTTATGGTGGCAGACATTGTGAGGGTGGGGAGGTTGGAAGAAAATGCAACAAAAAAGAACCAAATTAAAAAAAATGAATGCTCTGATTTTAGAAAACCATATGACACACTATTATTCTTAACGGTAATGGAGTTAACTTTTTAGTATATACTAAGAGATCATTTTCTTTTTTTTCTTTCACTTAACAGTTTCATTTTTAATTGCTTACCCCACCCCCCCCCCCCATTTTATCTTCTACCAAGAACCATTCAAGTATTACCAGAATCAGTAAACATGAGACGAAAGCTTCTTTTATTGGCGTTTTCAATCTCGCAACAGAAAAATATTGATGATGAATCATGGCTTCGCTTGCAACGATATTAGAACATATGTTAAAAATGTGAAAATGTGAAAATGGAGTTTGCTTTCACCATATGTTACAGTTCCATTTTGATTTATCGACAAGATATTAAGATTATGCATCTTAAAGCATTACAGAAGAATAATCATTAACATTTTTGAAATCAGAGAAAAAATTATAAGTTTTAAATTATAAACTTCTCAAAAGAATAATTGCATTGGTAAAACATAAACACTTACTCATTTATTTTATGATGCAAATAAAGAAAGAAAGAAAACAAGAAAAATAAATATTACAAATTTTTAAAAGATTTGAGTTTATGCTTGAGAAATAACCTTTTGGTATATATCATATTTTCCAGTTAACAATTATAGTATCTATGCAAACTTTACCCAACTGTAAGACCTATCGTGTTTCCATGTAATTGTTCGTTTGTGTATTAATTTGAAAGCCTTTAGTCAAAAAGTACTATAGTATTTATTTTTATTTTGTTTTAATTATGGTATATCATATAGAAAGAAAATGTGTATATTGTCCAAAAATAGTTTGTGTAGAAATAAAAAGGAAAAAGATGGAAAAAGCTTCAAAATGTTTTTGAATATAAAAGAATAGTTGAATTGTAACTAAGTTTAGTTAACTTTTTTATTTATATTGCTTAGTTCTTACTACCACAAATTTACTTCTTCTATTAACAATCAATCTTGAATTTCAATATTTCTAATTTCATTGTATAATTTAATTTTAATGTATATAGTCATAATTATATATTTAAATATAAATTATTCCATAGTTTAAATTAACTATTTTATTTTGTAAAATGAATGGAGAGGCATTCCACATACTTTAAATTATCTAATTATATATAGATCTTAAATAGTAAAATATAAAAAATACTGTATACAGTAGAATTCTATAAATTAATACTTGATAAATTAATAATTTTTAAAAATTAATAAATTTTGGTGGTCCCAACTTGGGATAGTTCAAAACAGAAATCGATAAAATAATAAGATAATAATTTTTAAAAATTTCATGTAAATATATGGTCCCATCAAAAATATAAGTTTATAAATTTATAAATTAAATATATACATATTTTATATAAGTAAGAACCTATCATTATGTTATTTTTTTTATATTCAAAATGGAATTAATATTTATATTTTTTTAACACTTAATACATTTTTGATATGCTTTAGTAATATAATCTAAAACCACATTAAAAGTATATGCAATATATATTATATATACCAAATATATATATAAATGTCAATTTTTAAAAAAAAATTAAATTATGCTAAAATCAATTTTTTATTTTAGAATAAATATATCTTAAAATAAGAAATTTAAATAAAGAAACTTTTGAAAAATAAATATCTCTATAAATCAATAAACTTTCAACTTTCAATATTAATAATTTATAAAGGTTCTATTGTACATTACGAAACAACCAAGCATCTCCGTCGAGGGAGATGTAAAGCATAAACAATCAAAAATATAAAGTTGTTGTGTGAACAAACAGTATCCCTACGATATCGAAAGGTAAAAAATAAATAAAAATTTGAATGTCTAATACATACTGATTAAAAACCTTATTAACAGAAAATAGGATTCTTTTCTCAAGATATGTCACACATTTTTACTTTAACAAAAAAATAAGAATCGTCAACGACTTCAAAGAAAATATAAGAGTGAGGTTCAGTACATGATTTAGAGATAGACCTCTCATCTACACCTTAGCTCAGAAGATAACAATCAAGGAAACACATGTAAGAACAACTTTTGACATTATCCGGACTGTTTTTTATTTTTATTTTTTCCGACAAACAGAAAGTTTTTAATTCTAAACTCAAGTGTAGAATTATGCAAACTAATAAAAGTAATTTACTGCAAAATGTGAAAATCTACATGCAACCTTCAAACAAAAAAAACAGACCATATCTCCCCGCATATCCTAAATTCTACATTGTGCATAGTTTATATACTTAATTATGATATTTCTGTAATATTTTATATTTACATAACAAAACTAAGTGTAATATTTAAAAAGTAACTATCCGCGTGTAGCGCGGTAAATTCTCTAGTATATGTAATTATTTAAAATGTAAGAAAATTTAACCTTTATAGTATATGAAGTTTTAAGCAATTATATTTTAATTGATTATAAAATTACATATCAAATTTTTTTGATGTAATCTCTTGCAAAATTCTTAAGTTACAACTCTTTTCATTTCATTTTAACTGTCGTTGTATAGTAAAATTTGTTTCAAAACAAATGTTGTTTTAGAATATTTTTTGTTAGAATTTCAATACAAATTAATTAATTTTATGTGTAATATGATTCTTTATAATCTCCAGTCTATTTTTTATTTGTTGAAATGTGATTTGATGTTTAGTTAATGATATTTTAATTTAAAAATATCCAAAATTAAATATTTTTAATCCGTATGCACAAATCTAAAATGAAAATTATAATTAGATGAAATGAGTATTAGAAAAACATAACATTCACCTTAAATATAGGTATTCTTTTTAGGCGTCCAATCACGGAAGAATAACACTCACCCAAAAAAATGTGGTGGCTAATTGGTTGATGCATCAAATCAAATAGCATGGAAATGCCTAAAAAAATTGTAGTAAGAGAAAACTAAAAAAGAAAGATCTAAAAATTTTAAAATAACATGCACAAAAAAATGGTTTTAGAATTAAGATATTACACTATCATATATTAGAAACATACTTTTAAATCATGATATATTAGAATTACTAAGTTTGTTTTATTGAAATTCAATGTTATATTATCACACATGTTAAAAATGGTCTCAGTTCTATTTCCTAAGATCATTATATAACAGTCAATTTGAGAATGTTATTGTAGACCTAAAACAAAATTATTAGCTGTGTAATTGTAGTTCTTTTCATGCATTTTTTTTATAACACTGACAGTTTGAATACTACAACATTGGAAAATAACCAATACAAAAGGAAATAAACAATGGGATGTCATTAGGCATCATAACAAAATGGATAGAAGCTCACCAGGAAAAAAACCCTTATGGATGAACCTCCATAGCGAGAAGGTGATGAAGCCACACTGGAGCATATCTGGCGATGTAGGACTGTTGCCGTTGATCACGAGTGACACTTAAAGCAATCGCCGTCGCTGCTTCATTGCGTTCAGGGAGAACGTGTTCTAGACTCCAAGTGTCTATCCTTTCCACAAGAAAAGAGATATTGTGGCGGTTGTGGCTGAAAAGGGGGTTTTGGTTGTCATCAGGCTTAGTGAGAGCTTCATGTAAGTGTTCGGACGATGTCTCAAAAATTATATTTGAGAAATGTAAATTATGTAAACGCTCGACCGCCCAAAAAAGAACCCATAAGTCCGCCTCTGATTTTGTACGCATATAGGAATATGCCCGGCGGCTATGCATGATTATGACCCCATTTTCAGTATGTAATACCCACGAGGCACCACTAGGTTGGTTGGGTTTCATCCATGATGATCCAGTATTACATTTTAGGAACCCATTGGGCAGCGTTCTCCATCTCACCGTGTCCTTATTGGTTAACATCCCCATCCATTCTTTCTGTGAAAGTATCAAACCATGATGATTCTGCTTCATGCATTTATTTATAGTGATATTTTAGTCATTTTCAAGTAAATGATTCAAAGATACACAACTATACTATGAAAAAATAACTCCAATATCCATTCCTCATATTTATCATGCTAATCTTCTTACACATTTTTTTTTGTTTCAAGTAATAGCAACCTATTACACAACAAAATAAAAGAATTTGATACGGTTTAAATAAGTTTTTTCACATATACAATAAATAAAGCATAACAATAGTAAAGTATTAATTTAAAAATAAAACAAAAAACGATTATTTTAAATGTATAATGAAAAAAAAACTTAAGTGAAATATTGTAAAAAGTAAGAATTACATACTAATTCCTCATATTTATCATGCTAAACTGCTTACACTTTTTTTTTTGTTTCAAGTAATAGCAACCTATTACACAACAAAATAAATGAATTTGATACGGTTTAAATAAGTTTTTCATATATACAATAAATAAAGCATAAAAATAGTAAAGTACTAATCTATACTATTATATAAGAAGTAAATTTACTTAGTTGTCAACTTCTCATTGATTTTAGGTAAATTTGTTTATTTACCTTATTTAAATAATTTCATATACAATTTATTATTTAATAAAAATGAATTTATATTAATAATATTATATTTTAGAAATATGTTAATTATTTTGTATCAAATTGTTATCTTAAAAATATATTTTTCTATTATAAAATTCAAGTGAATTTACTGATTGATTTGTAACTTCTCCATGATTTTTATATTTTTGCTTAATTGTTCTATTTTAATAATTTTATGAATAATTTATTATATAATAAAACAAATTTCTATTAAAAATATTATACTTTTAGAAAATAAGATAATTCTTATGTATTATATTGTTATCTTTAAAATATATTTTTATCATAGAAATTGAAAATTTAGTTAAAATATTAATAGTTAAATATAAAGAAAGAAATGCTGATTTATCAACTTCTCCATGGTTTTATATTTTTCTTATTTATCATATTTTAATAATTTCATATATAATTCATTAAATGATAAAATGAATGTATACTGATAATACTAGATTTAATACATAAGAATATTCTTATGTATTAAACTGTTATCTTAAACATATATTTTCTATTAGAAAATTTAAGTGAACTATCTGATTTGTAATTTTTCTATGATTTAGATAGTTTTGATTATTTTTCATATTTTTAATAATTTCATATAAAATTTATTATAAAATAAAATGATTTTCTATTAAAAATTATATTTTGAGAAAATAAGATACTTCTTATGTATTATATTGTTATCTTGAAAATATATTTTTATTATAGGAATAAACAATTAAGATAGAAAAAATTATAGTTAAAATAAATTAAAGCAACACATTTGTGAAAATATTTTTTTTAAATATTTTTTTATGTGAGTGTTGTTATTTATAACTAATTTTAAAACATAAATCATAACTTATTATATTGGTTTGGATTAATGAAATATAGACTAATAATAAATTGTATGAAAATTATGTCCACATGTGCAGACAAACCACCTAGTTTAAAAATACAACAAAAATGATTATTCTAAATGTATAATGAAAAAAAATTTAAGTGAAATATTGTAAAAAGTAAGAATTACATACAAATAAAAAAAATTAATAATTCAATATACATAATTCGCGGTAGCGCAAAAATATTTAAAAGATTTTGTAGATGTGTCAGGGCGATAGTTTGGTGTAACATGGGAGTAGAGTAGTATGCTCTAATGATATGGATAGTTTTCCTTGTCAAGTTGACTTAAATTAAAGATTCTCCCCAAATTTTTCGTAGTTTTCCTTGATTTCCTCACTACCGCTTCCATTAAAATAGCCTTTTAATATTCTTCATAGAATCAATTTCAAATATAAACTTTAACTTCCGGCCTCTCTTATATATAACTGTATTTAAAAGGATATTTATAAAGATTTCTTGTTTTCAGATATCTGTGATTTAATTTTCAAAAAAATGGTTGAAGGAATATTGTCCAAGGCATTTTGGGTTGTTTATGCCACAGTATTTGCAGCTGCAACGGTGGTTTACGGGCAACAAGTTCCATGTTACTTCATCTTCGGAGATTCAACTTTCGATAGTGGTAACAATAATAACTTGCAATCTAAGGCAAAAGTTAACTATTCACCTTACGGTATAGACTTTCCCGAAGGCCCGACCGGCAGGTTTACCAATGGCCGCACTATTGCGGATATTATCGGTTAGTATATATACGGTCTCAGGTTGAGTAACTTGACGTTTGTAATCTTCGATATATTATTTCAGTATTTAAAAGAAAGCCATGAACAAATGAAAAATAACATTTCAATTGAAACATTAATCTTTAAACTAACATATACTGGTAAACCATTTAGCTCAATGTTATTAGATCCAATCAACATAAATAGTTTTCATATGTTAACAAATGCTGTAAATTGCATTATCATTTAGTTAAATATTTTCTTTAAAACATAAAATGTATGCACCTTAGCTAAGTATTCCCTTAGATTTTAATTATTCCAGTGCTCAATTACCTTCTTTGTAAAATATATATATATATATATATATATATATATGTTTGTATATTATTATTTTTCTCGCAGGTGAACTATCGGGTTTTAGGGATTTTATTCCACCATTCGCCGGAGCATCACCCAAACAAGCACACATAGGGATGAACTATGCTTCTGGTGGAGGCGGACTTCGTAAAGAAACTAGTAAACATTTGGTAAGAAGTAAGAACTACTTAAATAATGATAAACTACTTACTTTTACATTTTTGCAAATATATATATTTATTTTATATATAATAATATATAATTTTAAAATATATATGTATTAAATTATTGTTTAATATGACAATTTTAAGCATTAATGATAACTGAAATCAGTATTTAAAAAGGTTTATTATATGTTATTAAATGATCCAACATGATTGAATATGTAAATTATAGTTATTATGCATTTCTAATATTTTCATATTTAAACTTCTATATTTTTAGAAAAAAAATCAGTAGTATAAACTGTTATATGAGAAAATCTAGGGGATATCCAAAAATGATTTTGTTTTTAAAATTAATAAATAATATAAGAAATGTATTAAATTAACTGAAAAAGACAACATTACTAAAAATTAGGATTATTAATAAATACAATGGCATTGTTATGTAAATAACTTGAAAAACTAAGGGGTACATTTTATTGGTACTTCTGTTTTAATAAGATAGATAATGAATAATGATGATAAGATCATATGTAATGAAAGAAAGATAATAAATTAATAAAATAATATATTGATAGATTAATAAATTAATAAATTAATAAATTAATAAATTAATAAATTAATAAATTAATAAATTGATAAATTGATAAATTAATAAATTAATAAATTAATAAATTAATAAATTAATAAATTAATAAATTAATAAATTAATAAATTAATAAATTAATAAATTAATAAATTAATAAATTAATAAATTAATAAATTAATAAATTAATAAATTAATAAATTAATAAATTAATAAATTAATAAATTAATAAATTAATAAATAATGATGATGTTGATAAAAATAAATGATGATCTCCTGTATTAATGAAAACGAAAAATTAACTAGATGTTCGCACATTTATTTTCATTGGTATAGTATTCAAAACAATCAGTATATATCTATATATATGAATCCATTCATACTTATAAGATGACATCAACAACAACAACAAAAGAAGCTTTTTCTAAATAAAAGCACCGAAGGATTACATAAATTTTACATCTTGTTACATCTTGGATAAAATATTGATCTCTCGAGATACATAGGGTGGACGAATCAGTCTAAGAAAGCAAATACAAAACCACAAGAAGGCGATAAAGAAAGCAAAGGTGCCAGTACAAAGACTGGAACAATGTCTCTATACAATCAACATCGGAAGCAACGATTACATCAACAACTACTTCATGTCAGAACTGTACAACACGAGTAGCCTTTTTGACCCTAATGAATATGCATATTCTCTCAACCGACTCTATCGTACTCACTTGAAGGTATAATGGAACACTTTATAGTTAATTTAACATATTTCAGTAAGGCTTGGGTTTGAATTTTTCTAAATTATTTTCAGGTTTTCAATCTTGGAATAAAAATAGATATCTTCTTTACGTTCATGTTTTCGAGAATCTAAGATATCTAGTTTTATTTGGAGAATCTCAAACGAAACCAAAAAAATTGCATATATATATTTTTTTTGTGCACCCCTTACATTTCAGCTATACGTCGTTTCTAAATATATACAGTTTTTGTCGTTGTTGTAGAGGTTACACAGTCTAGGAGCGAGAAAGATAGCACTTTTCTCGATCAGTCTGATAGGTTGCACACCAAAGATGATTGTGTCCCATGGTGGCGGCCAAGGTTGCGCGAAAGATGTGAACGCTGCCGTGGCAATCTTCAATAATAACCTAAAAGACCTTGTAAATGATTTCAACAAAAATTTCAAAGGTGCTGAGTTCACCTACGTCGATATTTTCTCTGCTGGAGATCCCTTAGCTTTCGCTCGTTTAGGTAAACTATCAAGACTCATTACATTTTTACATTTTTATCCAATATACATAGAAAAATAAGAATAATTAACATACACACATGTCAAAAAAAAAAAATTTAACATACACACATATATATGTACAACTTGTAGTATATATTCCTATGAGTCTGGAGTTCTCGTAAACAATACTAGTGACTGATTAAATCTCTTGTATGAGTGTTATGTCAATCATAGCAAAACATATTGAATTTTTGATTAGAACTCGTTCCTTATAGATACACAAACAACGAGTCTAAAATATGAATTACTATGCTCAAAGTCTCTTATCTGTCTAACAGTTTTTATTTGTAAATGAAACAATTTACTATATGGTTTGTATATTTGAAATGCGAAATAAAACGTTGAACTTACTTTCGCTCTCACAATGTCGTAGGATTTAAGGTTGGAGACAAGGGTTGTTGTACATTATCTCCCGGGGAAGAACTTTGTGTACCAAACAAACCGGTTTGTGCAAACCGGTCTGAGTATCTCTTTTGGGATGATATTCACAGCTCTGAAGCCACCAATAAGATGGCGGCTATAGGCTCGTTTTATGGACCTCTAGGTAGTCCATACAGCATTTCCCAGCTTGTGAAGCAATAAAGGCTAGCTTGTACATAATGTACATGAATAATAGCGAATATATTTTTTTTATTTTTGATAGTTCTTCAAACAAGGGAAGATATGTGAAAAACAAGAAGGAATATGTACATATAATCAATGAATACCAATTTTTTTTGGTTGATCCGCTCTGTATTACTGTAAAGCTAATTATGGGGATGATTGGTTGAACNCTCTCTCTCTCTCTCTCTCTCTCTCTCTCTCTCTCTCTCTCTCTCTCTCTCTCTCTCTCTCCTTTACATTCGCTTTCTCTATCTACCAGATTACCACCCAAAAATCACAATAAAAAGGGATCTTCACGTCTAACAATCTTTGAGAGCGACCACAAAATTATATAACTCGCCACTAGACGCAGTTAATGTTAATCCCATGACACTGAGACGTTAAGTTCTAACGCAAATAAGAAAGGTTTACCGCCTTGAAACGTCATGACGAACAGTTTCAACCTTTGCTCACTAATGGGTCGAAACCATTATTTCAACAAATCTCGATCCACTTGACCCGTTAAGAAAAAATACTTAATCCGCACATGTCCCACTTAATTTTGCGGGTAATTCGCAAGACCCATATGTAGTATTAATAATACTAAAATAATATTTCTAAATATATTTTAAAATAAAATTAGATATATTTTAATTCGTAGTTTTAATTATTTAAAAAAATCATTTTTAGAAAGAATAGTTTTTTGAAGAACAAAACTTTTTTTTTTTAATTTTATGTGTATCCGCAATTCAATTTCAATTTAAACTTAATCCGCACCCACACCCACAGTTCAGAATTTTCAGATTGTTTGATTCGCCGCCGTCCCACAGCGAGTTAAATGGGGCGAGACCCCAGGATAATGATTAAAATTCCTAACTTTACCTAAGTGATAGCTTTCACTGAATATCTTAGAACAAAAATATAAAGTAACTGTGACAAAGAAAATATATATATATATATATATATATTAAATAAGAAGTTAAAAAATCAGATAAGAAGTTTTCAAATACCCTCTGATACTCAGTTAACTATGTTTCAGCCTCTAATAGCTTACTTTTTTTTTAAAAAAAATACGTAAATTTAATTATTATAAAAGTATATTTAAGTGATTATATTTTAAATAACTGAAAAACTCATGAATATCGTACCGTGGAAAATGCTGTTGATACATACTGATAATCTTATTATGATATAATCTTCTGTACTGGAAAATGCTGTTGATACATACTGTTCAACCGAATGTTTCCTATTTTACTATGATATAATATTCTAAATATATTTTTAGTTATGTTTGGTCAACTAAATAATTAAGTTCATAATTATTATTAAATATATTATAAATTAATATTAATTTATTTTAAATTTTACAATACTATAATATTTATGTACATATTTTTAAATAACAAAACCAAATGATAAAAATAATTAAGTAACAAATAAAATTCAAGTTTTTTGGGACAAAATCAAATTTCAGTTATTATATAAAAATATAAACTTATGTATTTTAAATAAATTTAAATGCAAATATTATTTAAGTAAACATTAAAAATTACATTCAAAACAAAGAATTAAATTTTATTGATTATCTATTGGTACGTTCATAATAAGAGATTTCATTTATTTAAAAATATTTTTCATACGAAATAATAGTGTCTTATATTTTATTTGTATATTTATTATATATACGAATATTACAACTACACCAAAATAAAAATATTAAAAGCTCAAATTTAATTTAAAAAAAAATTAAAAATTTAATTTGTAAAATAAAAAAGCACATTGAAAAGTAAATTATTTATATAAAAATATAAACATATATGTATATTTATATTCAAAGTAGATTAATGTATATCAAATAATTAAATATATACATTAATATATGGGGAATTCGTCAAATATAACTCAAAACTTAATTTTAAATGCAAAGGTGTACCCCAACTTTAATCAATTAAAAACTAACCTAAAAGGCTAGTGAAATTACAAACAGTCCCATGACCAAAAAGAAAAATAGTATTGATTTTTACCATTATAACCATGCGCGTGAGAAGATTTCCGGGAAAGTTTTCCTTAAAATATTTATGTGAAAGTCTTCTCATACAGTAAATCAATAAAGTAATTTTAAAATTTTAGAAAAAAATAATTTGATGGAGAAAAATTAAATCCATGTAATTATAAACATTTTAAATGATGTAAATGAAGATTTATTAAAATTTAATTTATTTTCAGTATAGATAAGTGAATGTAGATTGGATCATGATAGTATTTGGTTTAGGGTTTGGTAACATATGTTATAGTATTGTTTGTATTTCTAGGGTTAGATTTTGGAATCTTAATTGTTTCTTAATAATTAAATTTGACATATATGTATTTAGTTTTGTGTGAATTAAATACTTTATAAGTTGATTTTAAGTTTAATTAAGTGTTTTTTTAATTAAGTAAGCTATATTTTTTTTTTGTTTGCAAGACTTAAATATTCTAAGATATAATGCACTAGAAAACTTTCTGGAAGATTTCAAAACAAAGTCTATCATTTCCCGCGTAGATTTTAATAGAATTTAGGTTTCCCGCCTATAAGAAGACTTCCAGAAAAGTTTTCTTTCTACGAGAAGATTTCTCTGAAAGTCTTCTCATAGAGTAGATCTAAAAATGGTTTAGAAATATTATAAAAAAATTTTGATGGATAAAAATTTGAATCATGTAATTATAAAAATTTGTAAATGATCTAAATTTAGATTTATTAAAATTGAATTGTTTTCAATATTGATAAGTAAATGTAAATTGAGTCATGATAGTCTTTGATTTTGGGTTAAATATCATATGTTACAATAATAATTGTGTGTTTTGGTGTTAGATTGTGGAATCTTAATTTTTTGCGAAAAAACTAAATTTGACATATATGTGTTTAATTTTGTATATATTAAACATTTTATCATTTGATTTTAATTTTAATGAAGTGATTGTTGTTATTCAAATAGTAATTTGTGTTTAGGGTTTGGAAAAATTCTTGGTTGGAAAGTCTTCTAAGAAAATCTTCTAGAAGACTTCTTATAATGTACTAGAAGACTTTTGAAAAGTCTTCCGAACCTTATTTTATTTTTTATTATACGTTTGAAGACTTCTAATAAGTCTTCCAAAAACCTTAGTGATAGAAGATTTTACACTGAAGTCAATTGTTTCCCGCTCAAATTTTAGTGAAATTTTAGATTTTCTGATTAAACATTAAATTAAAAATATAATTAAAACTGAAAATCTAAAAAATAAACCGTGAACCCTAGTTCTCTTGAAACAAATAAACCATCAAAAGAAAAAACCTTAGTTCCCTCTACTCACTCCCTCTTAGCCGTCATACAAACTCTTCTCATATCTCTCTCCCGTCTCTCTCTCTCTCACACTGGACTGCCTCTCTCACCGCCAGATCTCTTTCTCACTCATGTGCCTCTCTCTCTCTGTCAGCGAAGCTCTCTCCCTCTGGTCGGACATGTCTCACGGTCCCTCCTCTCTCTCTCTCTCTCTCTCTCTCTCTCTCTCTCTCTCTCTCTCTCTCTCTCTCTCTCTCAATGTTATCTTAATCAAAGGAAATAGTGGCTCTGGATGACTGGATCTTGGAAGACTACCAAGTTAATTCATTCAAACATCTCCCAGTTTAGGTATACAGAGTAACCTTTTTCTTAGGTGTATTTACAGAAAATCTACACAAAAAAAGTCGGCAGAAAAATAAAAAAGATCATACAGTGAATAACAAAAGGGAAATTGGATCGTATAGACACAAAAAAGTATAATTGACAAAATAGCCAATTAATACATCAATACACCATCCATCTTTTATATAATAATACTAATCTATGTAAAACTTGTAAACAAAAAAAAAACTAAATTAATAGTACGTATTTACCTAACACATGTATAGTGTGGCCTTTGTAGAATCACATAACTTGTATAAAGTGAGTGGTTTCTTCCGCATTATTGATCCATTGTGTAACCACCAAGATTTTTTCTGGAATATTTTTGCCTAGGAGATACCCATCTGCAATGGCTCGCTTGGCTACGGACGGGAAGCTTCGTGCATCTGAAATATATGGAGTTGCCGACAACGTAAACGGGACTGCCGCGAGGTTCTTCAACTCTTACTTCAACTTCTCTAATCTCTTTGGTTTACTAGGTGGTTACATGTACTATTCCTACGGATGTCGCCAGTTATACTTATTTTTTTGGCTGTGAATGACCTAGAATTAATTGGAGAAGATGAACAGTTTTTGTAACATTGTTTTCTATTCTATTATATGTGTATGGAATATAAATGTAAAATAATAAATGTTTAATTCATGTTATGTAATGCAAAATAGTCGGTTACTATACTTTTTATCATGTATCGTTCCATTTGACGATTAATAAAGAATGTATTATTTTTTCACCAATATCTACTATACTATGTATTTTGTTCCATTCTATTTTGGTTTAGGGTTTATGCTTGGGTTTAGAGTTTAGTGATTATGATTTAGGATTTAGTACTTTGGAAGGTGGGGGTTGAGGTTTGGGTTTAGTGACCCTATCATGTATCGTTCCATTTGATGATATACCATTCTATGTATTTTATTCCATTCTATTTGGGTTTAGGGTCTATACTGGATTTAGAGATTAGTGATTAGGATTAAGGGATTAGTAGTTGGAAGGTGGGGGTTGAGGTTTGGGTTTAGTGATATTAGTTTAGCGTTTAGTATACAAAAGTTAGGTCTGGTTTAACATTTAAGAGTATTGTGTTGGGTTTAGGATTCAGTAATTAAGGTTTAGGGTTTAGTATTCGGAGGGAAGGGTATGTAAAATGAATATGTTTGTGGTAATTATGTGGGGGGGGGGAGGGTTATAATTCTATACTATTTCGACGATATAGAATAGTATTTAGAAGGTGAATAGGATAATTGGGGTGAGCATTAAATTTTTCTATGTAATCATAGACATTTATTTTATTTTGATTTAAAAATTATATTTGGATTAAATATCGA